GTCATTTATTTAAATAATGTGTAATAAAAGGGGGGGGGAGAGTTTGGAACCATTAGCTAAAATTGCTTGCGGAACGGATGTAAAGATGACCCAGTCATAATGAACAAAAATTTAGGCCCTTTGAAGGTTCACTATAGCGGGGTCATGGGTGCAAGTTGGAAAAAAGGCCAAGACTGAAAATTGTTTGACTGAAATACCTAACATACACAATACCCCCTCGACATATGCAAACTATCTAAGAAAGCTTTACCATAATACATCAAGTTTAAATACTGTACAAAAAATACTTATTCATCTGTCTTTTGATAAAATAACAACAGGACATAAGAAAGTAGACCAATAACGTAGAACTAAAAAATATTTTTAAGGACAGAAAAAAATAAATTCCGATTTCCGTCTTCGAGTCAGTCTTGTTTCCGTCTGTGGACATTTTCAAAAGACGGAAATCCGTCCTGGGGACGGAAGACTTGCACCCATGAGCGGGGTTTGACTGTGTATATATATATACATAAATATATATCTATACTCAAATATAAACAGACTATTTAACTATAAAAACTTTACTATAAAAATTATTAGTTTTGAAAGGTAACCCAATGAAATATAGTGAGTTTAATTATTTATAAAAACTACAGACTAATTCCACTACATTACAATCAAAAATATCTATCTTTACTACTCATCAGAATAATGTTAATTTTTTTTTAAAGGGTCAATAATTTTAAAGTGAAATTTAAAATCCACTTCTTAAAACAAAAGCAGAACAGATAATGACATATTTCTTTAAAAATTTTAAATAAATAAAATGATTATAAATATATTAAATATATCACATTATTTTGAAAACACAATAAAATTAAAAAAATTAAATAAATTGAAGAATATTATTACCATTAGGGGTTATTAATAAATCCGGTTTAATATGGCAATCATTTGGATAAATAAATCTCAAATCATTAACCAGATCCGAATCCAATAACGAGTGTGCAATATACGTCAAATAGAAGGCACGTTTCCTGTGATATCTGTAATTTAAATTGTCCATTCCCTGCCAGCAAGGCTAAAATCAAATAAATATTTATATTAAACAACTAAACATAATTTAGAAGTAATATTGTAATATCAAATTGTAAACAATATTGAAACATTACATTTTGTGCCCTACATTTATTAAAAGTATTCAAGTTTCCACTTTCTTTCAAAAAAGCTGTTATTTATCAATGAAATCTAAATCCAATTTTTAAAAAAAATAAAAATTTCAGATAAATAAAATGTTGTTACAAATAAATTTTGCTTAGAATTATGAAAATTCTTCAAAATGTATTTGTTATTTAAAAAACTAGTTGTTATAGAAAAAAATATTTTATTTTTAGAGTTAACATTAAAAAAAAAATACACGGCGGGATAGCCTGATAGGTTGGGCACTGGGCCCATGTCCAAGAGTTTGTGGGTTTAACCACTGGCCGAAGACTCTCTGTGCAGAAATGGTGACTGATGCACGTTAAATCTGTCGAGTAGCAAAGTCCTCCCTGTTTCCATAACAAACTCTGGGGGTACTAATCCAAGAGTTCCTTTGTCTTCTGAATTGGTTCAAAATTACAAGGCTGCGGAGTTGAACATTAGTAGTCGTAAACCCAAAATTGGGTCGGCTGTTCAACGACGGTCATAAAATAAAATAAACATATTCAGAGCTTTTAAAATGCCATCTAAAGAATGCAGTCTCGGCAAAACAAATTTTAAAATTCTTTAGCAAGATCAATACACAAGTAAAATGGGAAGGAGCCTCTTAACTGATTTGTTTAGAGTGTAAATATTTGTCTCCTATTGAGGAATTATCCAAAGCTAGGATCAACCGGTTCTATTATGTAATGAGCATTGCTGTGTGCATGTTTAAGGAAAGAAGTAACTCTTTCTCACCCTTCAGAACCAGTTTTTGTTTCTATTCAGAGCAGAGATGAGGCAAATATTTATGTTTTAGCTTTAAGCTCAATTAACAGTTAACTTAGCTATATCACAAAATGAAAAGTCGATTACATCATTTTTTAAAAATTAATAAATTACTTAAACAAGTAGTAAACTTATAGTAAATGAATCATTAACATTGGAAAGAATTTTTTAAAAGTTAAGCTATTTTGGAAAAGGAAAAAAAAAAAAAAAAATGCTTGAATTATTGATTTGATAATATCTTTTGAAAATTAAGATTTATACATTTTAGCATAACTGTTGCATCTCCTAAGAAAATTTTTATTATCCATACTAAGTTGAATGCAATGTATTTTTAAAAAAATTTAAGTTCAGAAATGTTTTTCTTTTTAAATTCTTAATCATGTTTAAATTATAATGTTTTAAAAGTAACAACCTAAAGATACAAAAAGTATGTGTTGAAATAAAAATATTATCAATAAAATGATGAAATAACAATACTGAATATAAAATAGAACATCACATGTTAGTAGATTATTAAATAACTAAGTATTACTTTTGGGATTTCAACAGCAATATTGATCACAGGAGATGATGAATGAATAGTTTCAAAGGCATAAGCACCAACAGATAAAATTTGTGTTGGGGGAAAAAATTTAAACACCCCTTTATCATTCTCAGGCACTAGACTGATAGGAATTTTTATTCCTTTTCCAACAGAAAAATCGTTAATCTGTGAATAAAGAAAATGAAAGAATTTCAAATTTAAATATAAAAATGAAAAAATAAAGTTAACATAAAAACGTGAAATTCATACTTACACAGCATTGGGAACTCTCAGGGAGATTTAAAAGAAATTGTTCGAACTCTTCAAGCCAAATTTTAACACTTTCATTTATCTTTATCTGATCTTTTAAAAGTTCATCGATCTGAAATATGTAAAGACAACCAATTTATATTTAGATTGCTATGTTGAAAAGAAATTGGATAATCAATTATAGTGTAGCAGACAAATAGATAAGCAGATTTCATCTTGAATGAATAAATTTTTCATACTTTAATTTAATATAAATATGTTACCTTTAAAGTGTATAATCCAGTTATTTCATAGAATAACTAGGTATTTCATGAATTAACTAATGATAGACCATTAAAGTGTATAATCCAGTTATTTCATAGAATAACTAGGTATTTTATGAATTAATTAATGATAGACCATTAAAGTGGAAAATAAACAATTTTAAAGTTATTTTCTAAAGCAATTGATTATAAATAGCTAAAATCTCACGAAAAATATATTCTATCCCAAATAAGGATGATTAATTAATATTGTGGAAAAGCAAATGATATAATTTATTACTGCTCATATCAATAATTACATATAAAAGCAACAGAATGAAACGAGCACACACATTTCACTGCAAAGTAGTTATAAGTGTAAGCAGCTAGAATCGGTTCAAAGAACTCGAGTACCGTATTTCAATTGTAAAAATTTCAATTGTAAAATGCATTTTTAAAATGTCATTATATTTTTAAAGGAGAAAGTACTTTTTAATTACTGTACACATTCTTAGAATAAAAAAGTTTCTTAATTACTACTAATTGTCAAGTAATGGATTAGAAAATGTTCTATAATCAGAATTTAAAAAAAAGGAAAATAAAAATCATTATACATAAAACTATCATTAGACTGTGTTCACATATTAGTCAAAAACCTGGCATGAGAATCGATTAGCTATCTTTAAGAGAGTTTTGAGCAAGATTCTGGGTGCAATGGAAAGGTAGAAATTCGAGAAATTTAGTTACTAGGTAGTATAAAGAATAAATAACTAAAATATTTCACTAGTTAGTGAAAACTTTCATTAATCCATTTACCAATTATAAGTTTTTCTCTTAAAACTAACATTATATGAAGTAAAATAAATTTAACAAATGTTTTAAACAAAACTAATTAAAAAAGGCAAACTAACCTTCATTTAAGGAATATTTTATCAGTGTTTTAGTAAACGTTTAATATTACATATTTACCATAGATAAAGCATTATATTGCACAGGGTTGGGTTTTTGACGTCAAAAAGTGGTTTTTGACATGACAAGGGTATAGTACTGGTTTAAACCGTCAAAAAGGTCAAAAACTGAAGTTTG